GCGCGACGAAATGAAGTTTGCGACGCGCGCCCTAACTGTGACTGTAGCACCTCAGTACTGCAGCATCTCGTTTTTAGATAAGGCTAGATGCGATACTCAGATCTTTGAATGGATTCGAATGTCGAGGTCATCAGTGGTGCTGTACATCATCGCAGTTTTGTAGGTAAGGTCTACAGTTGTATTTGCGTCCCCTCGTCTTACCATTTACCAAAGGTCCACATGAAATCTCAGTAATAAATATTTCTTGTAACTAACTTCCCTTACTAGATTTCTCGGTGGTGCACCTGATGCTGGTGAATAGTGAGCATTCTTGAGTTAGTGATCATAACCGAAAGTTTGTCCGCCATTCATTAATTCACTTGTTTGCTGCTTCGTTGGATGGAATAGAAATGAAATTGGAGACATCGCAAATCTCAAAAGTTTTTGAGACGGTATTGTTTAATTGGACATCTAAAAACAATGTGCTCAATCTCAACTTGAAGGAAGTTACCAAGTGCAGCTTACTCGTCCTAGATCTCTTGCCTTAATCCATGCACATACTTCAACACCCAGAGCGAGGACGGCTTCCTCATTCAAGAGCAGCTATGAGTCAGTAATACAACTCGAAGCAAAAACATCATACTCCAGGGGCCGTAAGGTATGCTCCCCCGAACAGGGATGGGTCCCCTTCCCGGTAAGGTATGCTCTCGGGGAGAGCTTTCGGGGAGAGGCCACGCCCACTGGTTCAAGGGGAGAACTTCCCGAACGACGCGCGATCGGGGCTAGCCGGGGCTACCGTAACTATTGACCACGGAGTGCAGAATTGTTTGTCGAGCGCGCAATTTTCTATGGCTTACGCAACCCCCTTGGCTTGAATTATGAAGGAAAGGCGTAAGTTCGCTTATAATTGGAACTGGAAAGGTTGCAAAAGGTTCTACAAGACTCGCGGTTCCCAAAGACTATGAAATTTCTGCTCAAGCAAAACGGAAAATAAGTGTACTGCATCTTCTTTAAAGTTCTGGATAGTTCGAAGCGATTTTGAGTGAGGTTGTTTGAACGGAGACCTAGGTAAGCTCATGGAGTCTGCAGAACTGGTTAGCTATGGGAACCAACATTGCTAGTTTAGTCTCCTGAGAAAACTTAAGCTGTCGAAGTTTGCTTGGAATTTGTTGATTTACCCAGGTTTCGCCTGAAGCTCATGAGGAAATAAGGA